ACTGTAAATGAGTTACACGGGGCTGTTGCAAGACCGTTGGAGGGGAAAGAATTGGAATGGCAGTGACTGGTTCTATCAATTATGCAGGAGTAAAGATGTGATTTCTCAGTAGATGAATGACTGTATTGGAAACCATAATTAAATTGATTAAAGGTAAGAAATCTTCTATCACATATGTGAAAATTGTTTGCCTGGAGTTAAGCTTTAACAGGTGCCCAGAGGAGGGTGTACAATTGGTCCACCAAGATCAGACAGTTCCAGGCTCGGGACTGTCCTTATACCCACAGTAGAGAGTACATTTCTGGCCAAATGGCAAGGCCCGTTTGAAATGGTAGGAAAAAGTCAGTGAAGTAAACTATAAAGTCCATCAACCAGGAAGGAGAAAGCCCTATTAGATATATCATGTAAATGTATGAAAACATTGGCAAGACAGGGAACGGGCACTAGCTGAGGCTAATTCAGGGCCTCCTGTAGAGAGGAAACAAGTGCCTATTTCGGCCACACTGTTTAAACACCAAACTCAGCAAGTAAAGACATTTTTACAGAGGTATAAGGAAATCTTTTTGGAACTACCAGGCCTTACCCGGGTAATAGAACATAAAATTGTCACGGAGCCTCATGTAAAAGTCAGGGTTAAGCACTTTGCGATTCTGTAATGATTTTAGAAAACTCAATGAAGTGTCCAAGTTTGATGCGTATCCATTGCCTCAAGTAGATGAACTGATAGAGAGATTAAGACCTGCTTGATATATCACTACCTTAGATCTCGCCAAGGGGTACTGGCAGATGTCAGTTAAAGTACCGCAGCGCTGAATACTGAAAAATGGCCTGGATGGGAAGGGGGTTTAACACCGCGGATGTCAACTGGTTAACTAGGGCTGCCAGGGAGAAAATGGCCTTTTCCACACCAGGGGGTCACTTCCAGTACAAAAGGATGCCATTTGGGTTGCACTCTGCCCCGGCCACTTTTCAGAGGGCAATGGATAAGACACTCTGCCCTCATCGAAGGTACACCTCTTTTTGAATGACATTGTTATTTTTAGTCCAGATTGGGAGTCACATCTACCCCGGGTGCAGGCTGTGTTGGACTCACTGAAACAAGCAGGATTTACTATAAACCATAAAAAATGTGCCATTGGGATGAAGGAGGCCAAATACATGGGATACTGTGTGAGTAGAGGTTTGGTAAAGCCGCAGATGAACAAGGTAGAGGCTATGCAGGCTTGGCCCCGCCCCTTAACCAAGAAACAATTGCAAGCATTCCTGGGCATAGGAACCGATGGTTTGTTCCCAACTTTGCCACTATTGCTGCACCACTGACTGACTTAACGAAAGGTCTGTCATGTTACAGAGGAGTAATAAAGCGGATGAAACTTTTCTGGAGCTTGAAACAGCCCTGTGCTGATGGCTCCAGATTTTTCCAGAGAATTTATTGTCCAAACTGATGCCTCTAGTGAGGGCCTGAGAGGTGTTTTGTCCCTACAGGTCAATGGGGAGGAACACCCTGTAGGTTTCCCTCAGTAGGAAGTTGACAGCCGCTGAGAAATACTACACTCTAGTGCAGGGGTCAGCAACCTTAAACATTCAAAGAGCCATTTGGACCAGTTTCCCACAGAAAAAGAAAACACCGGGAGCCACAAAACCCTTTTGACATCTAAAATGAAGATAACACTGCATATATCGTTTTTTACCTTTATGCTATGTATAGCATGTATATGGGGGCTTAGTAACGCACTGGACTCTGGGCTTAGTAACGCACTGGACTCTGGGCTTAGTAACGCACTCCCCCCCCTACTGCTCCTCATTCGGACTCACCTGCCAAGCCTCACAGCCAGCATCACAGCCAGATGGTGTGCAATGCCGCAGATGAACAAGGTAGAGGCTATCCAGGCTTGGCCCCGCCCCTTAACCAAAGGCCTCCAATATCATTAGCATGTGACACACACTTCTCCTCTCCCGACGCCTGTTACTAGGCATGCGGCCGGAAGAGGAGGTGAGTCACAAGACCTGCCCCCTTACTGAGAAGCTCGTCGGCAGTGCGGGGCCCCGGGACCCTGCACTGCTGCATATTCCACTAGGGGGGTGCCCAGGACCGGACCTCACTGTGCCCCCCCACAGCCTCAGGCCCCAGGGCCCCAGGGGTAGTTCCGCCCCTGGACAGTTTGCCGCAGCAGAGGGATGAAAGACCCATATGCGGCTCTGGAGCCTCAGGTTGCTGGCCCTTGCTCTAGTGGAACGAGAATGCTTGGCCATAAAATGGGCTTTGGACTCTTTGCAGTATTTTCTGCTCAGTAGGCAGATCTGGTGGGTAACAGACCATGCTCCTTTAACGTGGATGAAACACAAGCATACAAATGCCAGAGTGACTATATGGTTTTTGTCCCTGCAGGTGTTCAAATTTATGGTGGAACACAGACCAGTGAAAAGTCACCAAAATGTTGATGCCCTTTTCTGACACCTCCATGTCAAGGCAGGGAGAGTTATGTACAGGATGCCAGGAATGCATCCTGGATGGACGATGTATTTCCCCACTATTTAGGTCATGGTCCCTTTAAGGGGATGAAGGGAAATTAAAAAAAAAAGTTTGTCAGAAGTTCTCACCAATGCAGGGTGAGGGGTTTCCGGGTGATTTTCTTGAAGGGAAACTGCTATGCAGTATTCCTAAGATTAGTAGTCCTGAAATGGGACCCAGAATCCGGAGGCTCAGAAAGATATTGGGTAGGAAAGAGCCTCTAACTCTGGCGAGAGGCATTTGGGCCTGGTAAGGGTTAACCCACCTGGGAGTGCTCAAACTGCACAGGAAGCCAGCCTGCAGTGTCTGTGAGGTGTGTTTGGAGCAGGGCATGGCTGAGTGTGGAGCTGTGGACTGTCTGCTACTGAGACATCAGTGTCTGTGGAGAGCAGGATGAGACGCTAACCCTGAGACGGGACATACATATACAGGCGGTGAGCCAGATCTTTTGTTATACTTATAAGAAGTTTTTGTTCATTTGTTTTGAAGAAAAGCTGTTTCTGTTGGAGCGTTTTAGAGAGAAAATAAAGATTTTTATTTTTCTAACACGGCTGGCTATCGATCATAACTGCTCTAAATATTACATATCTGCAGGAGGAGTGCAGGCTGTTATATATAATTATTTTAATTTTTAGTTTAATAGAGGGGACATGATTTTGATGTACAAATTGTTTAATGATAATACTAATATCAGCAGTAGACATTTTACTGTAAACTCCCTAAAGAAGACTAGAGGCTACCACCTAAAACTGGAGGAAAAAAGATTTAACCACAAGGGACTCCCCTTTTCTGTTAGGGCAGTAAAATTGTGGAACTCTCTTCCACAAGCAGTGGTATCAGCAGAGAGTATTGAATCATTCAGAAATCATTTAAATACCTTCCTCAGGGACCATAAGATCGTATGGTCCCTGAGGAAGGTATTTAAATGATACAAGTACAAGTACTCCTAATGACTGGAACACACATATGCACACACACACACACATATGCACACACACACACACACACACACACACACACACTCACAAAGGTTGAACTCGATGGACCTGGTTCTTTATTCAATCTCAAATACTATGCAACTATGTAACAGCAGAGGCTGCTAGCTTCTAAGCAACCAAGAGGGCTGAGCAGAACACCGTCACATTTAGCAACGTATGTCTTCTCGCTGCAGCCAGAACTTTAGCTTGGAGGGGGGAGAAAACATCCCATTTAGTTGGCTTGTTTACTGAATAGCTAATGTTCACCCCTCCTACATCACACTTGGTCCTAACTGTATACTCTACATTGTGCTATATCTGTATTTTCGTACTAAAGAGACTCTTTACTGGCCTGTTTTTTTTTGCTTTCCTCTGGATCAACAGTGTGTAATTGTGGGCATAGCTTTCTCTTTAGGCTTTTCTTCTTTTTTTTTATATATCTCTATAGGTTGAACTCAATGAACATGTGTCTTTTTTCAACCTGACTAACTATGAAACTATGTACACAGTATGCCTTTATTGTTCTATTAACCCAATCTTGAAAGCAAAAGGAGAAAAAAAACGTTGAAACAGAAATGTGAAAATAAAGATTTTTTTCATATATTGTACAGGATGCCAGGGATGGGTCCTTGATGGCAAAAATACACCCATCATCCATAACATTATGATCACCCATCTAATATTGAGTAGGTCCCTCTTTTATCACCAAAACAGCACTGGTCAGCAACAATGTTTAGGTAAGGTGTTTAGGTACATGCCAAACTAACATCCACATGAATGGCAGGACCCAAGCTTTCCCAGGAGACCATTCCCTAAAGCATTACTCACATGCACACGCACATGATGATGCAAAAGAAAAGGTGATTCATCAGACCAGGCCACCTTCTTTCATTGTTCTGTGGTCCAGTTCTGATGAGCCCATTGTGGGCGCTTGTGGCAGTGGTCAGGAGTCAGCATGGGCACCCTGACCAGTCTGCAGCTACCCAGTCCCATAGTTCAGACACCTTTCTATCGAAACCGGCAATAACTTTTTCAGCTATTTGAGCTACAGTAGCGCTTCTATTAGATCACATTACATGGGCCAGCATTTGCTCCCCATGTGCATCAAGAAACCTTGGCCACCCATGACCCTGTCACTGGTTTACCGGTTTTCCTTCCTTGGATCACTTTTGGTAGGTTCTACCATTGCAGAAGGGGGTACAAGAGCTGCAGTCTGACCCAGTCATCTAGCCTTCACAATTCGGCCCTTGTCAAAGTCGCTCAAATCTTTACACTTGCCCATTTTTTCTGCTTCCAACACCTTAACTTCACATTTTTGAGAGTGAGCCAGGTGCTTGGGAAAAAGCAGTTTGAGCTCTGGATTGACTAGAAGTTGTCAACGTTCAAAGATTAGATTATTTTCTTTACGTTGATAAATGTTTTCCAGACAAATGTACTTTAAGCAAGATTAAAAAAAAAGAATAACAAAACATTAACATTAAGAGTACATGTTATATTTATAATAATATTACCAGCTGCTGGATCCACATTCCCTTTAGTCTCTGTCAAGGATGTTAAAAAGGTAATGCTGCCATCAACCTGAGTGTCATATTCCATAGTTTCTTCTGGATTTAGGTTCATTTCTGTATGAATAAAACATGCATTACAGTTTGTAGTTAAAGTATATATAATTGTAACAATAAACCTATTTTATATGTACCCTTTTGGTCTGTTATTGGAAGCATTTTGTAAAAGTTAGAAAAAAGTCCAGGGAATAAGCGCTCTCCGAAGTGCTGGAAGGGGTTTAATTGAGTAAATTCAATGCGCATAACATACAGGTGTGAATACATAGACTTAACATTAAGTAAGTAATGTTGCGACATCAGCGACTAAGGTCCTTGGATCTCATGAGGTGGAGATCCTGGGCAGGGTGAGCTGCAGGATCTTAACCAGCTGCCTGCCGCATACCGGCTCGTACAGTCTGCCCTTATCCCCTCTCTCACTGACACAGAACAGAGACCAGCCATCACCAGTAATCTTTACTAGGTTTCTCTCCCCCCTCACCCGCTCAGCACTTGACTTGCTAGCGGGGCCAGCACCAGCAGGGTGTCCATCTGCCCTACTATTGAACACAGCAGTGACACCACTCGATCGTGATTAACACAAAACATCTCCCAATTACCTCAAACGAAACCACTACCAATAAAACTGACCTAACACAACATACATTACACACCCTGCCCAGGATCTCCACCTCATGAGATCCAAGGACCTTCTTCGCTGATGTTGCAACATTACTTACTTAATGGTAAGTCTATGTATTCACACCTGTATATTATCCGCATTAAATGTACTCACCTGTACATTCATTTATTTTTGGCCAACACGCTGAAACCTCTGATGTCAGATCGGAAGTGTTGACACACAGCATCACCTTGCTGGAATCGTCCCTCCAAAGCCTTCACTAACTCACCCAGACGTGAGTATTACATTTCCAATCCTTCATCACTTTGCTACGTATTCACACCAGGTTGCTAGTGCTTCTCTACCCCCTCACCTTCTCATTGGAAGCATTTTGGTATATCTGTTTTTATGAGTACAAAAAAAACTGTTAATCTTGTCAGAAATGCAGAGCTGCCCGGTGTCCTCTGCATATACCTACTGTGTTATTTTAAAGTCTATTTCCACGTTTGCAGCCTTATTGGGACAAAACCTATTTTATATTTGTTACATATTCACTTTCACATAGCATAACTTAAGAGATTAAACATTTCTGTGTACATTACTTATTTTCTCATATTACTAACTTTCTTTAAACAGAAATTTTCTCTGGAATGCCAGTGGGCTTACCATAATTAACCCTGTCTATACTGTGGTGGCAGATGTCATTATCAGTTGTAAACTAGATTTGAACACTGTCTGTCTTGTAAAGTATTAAAAGGTTAAAGATTTAGAAGAATTGTTTGTTAATGAGAGGAAGCTCAGTGTGTCCCTAGTATTTTTATTTTGGACAGCCAGAGTTTCCTGTCACTTTGAAATTGTGCAGGGAAGCCCATTTGTCTGCTCAACAGAAACATATGAAAGGTAAGATATATTTTAAAAAATAATTTTAGGTATGCTATGTGAATAGGAACACATAACAAACATATAGTGAGTGATAGAATTGTACTTTAAAGTTCAGTTTGGAGAAGAACTTTTCTTTCAGAAAGAGCAAGTAAAATGGTGAGCAGCATTTTTTTATATAACAAGAACATTTGCAAATATAAAATAGGTATTATTTCAAATTGGCCGCAAAAGTAGAAATACAGCATTTCTGGCAGATCAGCAGAAACTCTTCTGTACTTGTAGGGAAATAACCAGGGAACTGTGCGTGTATTGTAGACAAGTAGTGCATATTTTTTTTTTACATTTTTGCCTTGAAATGCGCTTTAATCTTTCACCTCATTGTCTATATTGCACAGGAGTTAAATCTTAGAAATGCTTTCAAGCTTAGTTAATAGTTAACTATTAACAAAAATGTAGCTTATTTGTGTATCACTCAGCTGTAGCTTCTCAGATCATCTCTGTATTTGTGCTGACACTACCCTTCCTTCTGGAGGATGGATACTTTTGTTCCCTATTGTCCTTGTGTGTGTTGCAGGGACGTGTGGTCAGGGGAGGCAGAGCCTCACATAGTATTATGAAGAAAAAAAGGTGTCAGCTTTTTTTCCATTCAGTGCGGCTTGTTACAGGTTACACAGCAGGGAAAGCCTACCCGCTGTGTAACCTGTCATGAATGGAGCGCTGTCTGTTAATCCCAGGCAGCGCTGCATCTGACTTTTGACAGGTAGTTAGGTTACACAGCAGCGGACTTCATTGGTGAGGCAAGAGCTGTCACAGTTGGACCAATGGCAAAGCGCCATTGGTCCAAGTTGTCCAATCAAAAAACAGAAGAAAAGAAACCACTGAGACAATCGATCTCGATGCCTCAGCAGTGACTCACCAGTGACGAGCAAGCGGGGTACAGGTAGGCTCCTCCTTGACTCCTCCCTTTCCCCTCCCCACACTGCTTGGTTACCGATCTGGAGGTGGGGCTTCAGTGGGATGGGGGTGGAGCTTTGGCAGGGCATGGTGGAGCTTTAACAGGACATTGCAGAGCTTCAGCAGGCTGGGGGATGCCTCACCCAGCACAGAAGGCACAGCACATCACTGGTGTGTTGTAAAGTAGCCACCACTGCAAGTGATGGACTACAATCTCATTACAGATTAGTAAACTAAATGTGACAATGTAGTCCATCAATACTGAGCATGCTGACACATACTGTATGCGAAATTCAGAGGAGAAAATTCATACAAGCACGACAAAGCTTTCCCTGTTATTTTAACTAAAGCTAGCCACACACCAGTAAATATTTGTTTGACAAAATTTGTTTTCAGACCATTTGTTTGATTTTTGATTGGTCAATTGCCAATCATTTTTGATCATAAAGATGAGAAACTTTAAAGCCTCAGGACAGAAATGTTTTCTCGTTTCATATCTGAACTAACAAAAAAAACTGTAAATGTGATTTCAGTTTGGAAAACATCATACATTTTGTAGTGTGCATGTGCTAGGCACAAAAGAAACATGTTTAATGCATCTGAAATGTTATTCAATTAGCAGATCTGGTTGAAATTTTAAGGATTTTATGACCAATATTAGTAGACTCAATGATGGCAAGATTAAATGCTCTGATAATTTATTTTTTTTGAATTTCAAACAAAATTTTGTTGAATAACCAGCTTTTATCTATTCTTCTATCAGCCCTTCTAACAAGTGAAATAACCCAGGAATTGTCTGGTTTATTCCTGTAAAATACATGCCTTTTCTCCAAGCTGGCTCCAGTAGGTGGCGTCATACAGCCCTGCCTTCTGTGTCGGTTTGTGGCGTCATACAGATGTGGCGTCATACAGCCCTGCCTTCTGTGTCAGTTTAAGTTGCCCAGCTTTAAGTTTAAATTCTGCAATGTAGGGCAGAGGAAAATCCCCCACAGCTTGATCTGGAGAGGCACAGTACATGCAAAGATGTTGGTTCCTCCCAGGGGCGTCCCGAGGCCGGGTGTCACCAAAAGTAGAGACCGGGTGACACCCCACAGTGATGTCATCACGCATGCGCGGTCATCTAATTGACGCCTGCCAGCAGCCATCTTGGTAATGGATGCCCGGCAGAGAGAGGAGGGGACTTTCACCCGGCAGGATGAGGTATCTCGCCGGGTCCCCTCCTCTCTCCTGACACTGTCGGGCTCTCGGTCCATGACCGAGTGCCCAAATTTTTAGATGTAGTGACACCAAAATGACTGTCAGTCATTTTGGTGTCACCCCTCCAATAGTGTCACCCAGGTACGGGCTGCACCCCTCTTGTGACGCCACTGGTTCCTACTTCTCAATCTTCATTATTAGTTATTACAGAATGTAACCATACAGAATATTTTGGTTTGATGTCATTACTTCCCCACATTTCTCTTAAATTCTAGGATTACCTTGGCTCCAACTACACAACCCTATCTTCCTTTGGTACACATTAAGTATAAAATTCGAGTTACAATACTGTTTAGAAACTTGTTATATTTCTATACCATTGCTTCAACTAACTCCCTTAGAGCCGCTCGACATTATGCTTGTGGTACCCACTCCTTACCAGGAATTCACTGATGTTTTCAGCAAGAAGATGGCTGACACATTACTGTCACATAGGCCATATGACTGTCCTATAGATTTACTCCCAAACATTAAAATACCTTTCGGTCAAATATACATTCTCTCTCAACCTGAATTAGACCATCTTAAACAGTATCTGGAGGAGACCTTAAAAAAGGGTTTCATTAAACTCCTCTTCACCCGCTGGAGCTGGGATGTTCTTATTCGGGAATAAAGACAACAGCCTAAGACCCATCATTGATTACAGGGAATTAAACAAGATTACAGTAAAAAATAGATATCCTCCTCCATTAATCAATTGATTTGTGATTGATTTGTGATTGATTTGAAAGGGCAGTGGTGTAGTGGTTAGCACTTCTGCCTTGCAGCACTGGGGGTCCCTGGTTCGAATCCTGGCCAGGTCATTATCTGCAAGGAGTTTGCATGTTCTCCCTGTACTTGCGTGGGTTTTCTCCGGGTACTCCGGTTTCCTCCCACACTGCTGGTAGGTTAATTGGCTCCTCTCTAAGTTGGCCCTCTATGTATGCATGTGAGATAGGGACCTTAGACTGTAAGCTCCTTGAGGGAAGGGACTGATGTGAATGTGCAACTATGTAAAGTGCTGCGTAAATTGTCGGCACTATATAAATACCTGTAATAAATAAATAGGGCATATAATCTCATCCGTATAGGAACAGGTGAAAACAGCTTTCCACACCTGATATGGGTTATTTGATTACTTGGTAATGCCTTTTGGGATCTGTAATGCCCCTGCAACATTCCAATATTAACAATATCTTCAGAGATTTTCTGAACGTGTGCGTCGTGATTTATTTCGATAACATACTTATTTATTCCAACAGTCTGTCAGAGCATCGTAAACATGTAAGGTCCGTACTTTCAAGACTTCATGTCCATAAGCTCTATGCTAAGCTTGAAAAGTGCATTTTTAAAAGCCACAACCATTCCTTTTGTGGGTTATATTGTT